TTCTATTTTGAAGTGTTACTTTTGATTTTCTAATATCTAAATATTAATAATAATACTAATAATAATAAAATTCTGTAAACACGAGGCAATATGTTTCAAAGGCAATATGTTTCTTAGGCTTGCGGTATGTTGTACGATTTATAATATCGTTCCTGAACTCGAGCGTTCTGCGTCTCTAACACCCATATTTATTGGATTGTCCGGAAAGTTCGTGCCGACTATATATTGTAATTTAATAAATGTATACTAAAATTTAATAAATTAAATCTTCTGCGTTTCAATTTTCCTTCAACATCGGCACGAACTTTCCGGACAACCCAATATAATCCTTCCTTATTTTAAGAGTTGAGAAAGCCTCCATGAAGAATTTTTCAACTCTTGTTTCATACAAATCTCAAGTTTCCCTTTCCGAAGGAAGAAATATTTTAGATTTTTATTTATATATTTTATTTAATAAATATATTTTATTTAAAAAAAGACTGTAGTTCTTTATTGCAACTAGAGATAAACGAATGCAATCTTTTTTTGAATAGCGGTAATAATAACAAGTTATTTTCAAAAATGAATAGTAAACAGCTTTTTATAAAATAACTTTCCATGTTATTTACAAATTAAGAAAAAATATGAAAAATAATGTATTATTGTAAATATGAATTAATCACCTTTTTCCCACCGATTATGATCTGCTCTAACAAGATCAATTTTATTGAACAGGTTTTCTCGTAAATGATTCATGTTATTTGAATCAGGAAATCTGCCAGCAATACCAGATAGAACGATCTCCTCGCCGGAATCAATACAATTCCACGATCTATATGTTTCTTCCATGATTTTTATTATTTTCTCAAATAATCTAGAAAAATATTATAAATATTTTATATATTCTTTTCTTTAAACTAAAAATAAACAATAAATACAAGGCTAGTTAGAGTCAAAATTGATGAAGGTGCCAAAAATTAAATTCCAATTCAAAGAATGATATCCATAATGTTCACTCCTCGGCTTTAACTCTAACTAGCCTTATATTTATCGTTTTTTAATTTTAAGATTTTGAGTTTGTTAATATCAAATATTAGGTGTACAACTTTGCTTCCGCCGTGTTTTTTCCGAAATTCGAGGCTTTATTGTAAAAAACTGGTTATACATTTATGATTCAAAGTATTGTCCATCGCTGGCCACTACTTTCTCCCATCTTTCGGGTAGCGTACGAATCCCGCGTCGAAAAAACTGGTCATCTTTTGAGGCTATCCACGAATCGATCCAATTTTTTACTTCTTCATAAGACTGGAAGTGCTGGTCAGCCAGGCCGTGTGCCATTGATCGAAACAAGTGATAGTCAGAGGGAACAATGTCTGGAGAATACGGCGGGTGGGGTAGGACTTCCCATTTCAACATTTCCAAGTATGTCTTGACCACTTTCGCAACATGGGGTCGAGCATTGTTATGCTGCAAAATCACTTTATCGTGTCTCTCGTTGTATTGCGGCCGTTTGTCTTTCAATGTTCGGCTCAAACGCATCAATTCGTTCGATACCGATCGCCTGTGATTGTTTCAGTCGGTTTTAACAGTTCATAATACACTACGCCGAGCTGGTCCCACCAAATACAGAGCATGATCTTGGACGTCAAAATCGTTCTTGAAGCGTTGAAACCACTCACGACACGTTCTTTCACTAATAGCGGCCTCACCATAAGTATTTGAGAGCATTCGATGAGCCTCAGCCGCAGATTTCTTCATATTAAAGCAAAAAATTAAAACCTCCCGCAAATGACGAGAATTTGGCTCGTAAACTGACATTTTCAATCGAGAATAACTTTATGATGCAGACACAAATCGACTAATGTTTCTATGGGGTTATGTTGACATGGGGTTATGATGCCTAAGTTTATTGTATGACGTCTATGATCTATTTATTTCGACCACCACTTACCACTAAAGCCATCTATAGGAAAATGGCGGAAGCAAAGTTGTAACATAATATTTATTTTTTTTCTTTATTCATGCTATTGATTATACTTGCTTTTGATATTCACAATATCACTGCAGTATCGTTTGAATTATAGATAAAAAATGACTGAGCTTTTTACGACAAATCAGTCTTTATATAAACGTCAACTCTTACAACACAAAGTTATTATGACGTTGCTTTTTGTTTCATCTACACTGCCGACTAAAAGTTTAAGACCATTGATCAATTAAAAATGTGTACTGCATAAAAAATCAAATTTATGGGTTATAATATATTTTTATTATTTTACTCATTGTCTTATAATATAATGAAAACTAATTTCAAAAAAATATCTTTTACAAAATTTTTTATAAAAAAGCATTAAAAAACATGGATATTTTTTCGACAAAACAGTTACTTTATTAAAATTTTTTTTCCTAATTTAAATAATCTAGTTATACATATTTGTTTTTTCCAAATGAAAGCTTGTATATTTATTTGCTAAAATAATCTACACAGCTTAATTTTGGTAAAGAGATACTATAATTTATGTATATTCTTGAAATTGACACGTGTTAATTATTATTGTGCTAAATATCTATTTACTCTTATAATAATGAAACTTTTGAGTAAATATAAATCGAAGTTTGAAATAGTATTTTATTATTCTTAAATTTTATGTGAACTCAAAGTTTTAGCATTGTATGTCGTCTTTTTAAGCTTTGCTTTTATAACTTTGTAATTTAACCTTTGTATTTTATTCTCCCGTCAGAAGGTCTCTCAAGACCCGCGAGTCTTAGAATTGTTACTATCTTCAACTGTGAAGAAAATGAATAAATTTTTCAGAATTTTTATATAATTTTATAACTTTTTCATATTTTTTATACGAATTGGAATACTTCTCAGAATATCTACATCTTTTTTTAGAATTTTCTAAATGTGTTCTAATTACGAAATGTTTGAAGATTTTTAAGACTTTTGTAAATATAATTTCTGATAAAATGTTATAAAATTTAAAAAATTAAAAAATATTTTTTTTTTAATTATGGAGAGATATCTCAGAATATTTCAAATTTACGTGTATGAAAAATTCTGAGGAATGTGAATTTTCCGAATATTTCTGAATATTTTCTGAATATTTCTGAAAAATGTTTCAGAAATATTCATAGGAAAATTTTTACCAGGATTACAATAAATACTGCTTTTTAAACATTCTAAAACTCTATCACTCTTCTATCACATTTGACCTTATATCCGTCGCGCATGCGATTATCACAGTATCTGCTGTCTGAGAGTTAAAATGCATTTCTGTTTAAAGTAAAGAGAAAGAACAAAAAGGAAAAAGAAAAGGAGAAAATCTGATGCGAATAAATATGTGAAATCGATCTATCATTTCTGTCAAATGGATTATCTTATAGAATTCACGTAAATTGTAGTCGAGCAGACAACTCGACTGTTCATGTAACAGAAATGTTCATTTCACACGTTTGTTGTTCTCATTGGCGTATTACTCGTAAGTGAGCAGTAGTTTTAGTTCAGTAATTCCAGTAAAAGTTATTTTTTAAAAGTAACATGTTATCGTTACTATTACTTGCGGTAAAAAGTAATTCGTTACCATTACTCGTTATTCTAAAAAGTAACGCATTACCATTACTTAAAAGTAAAGATAAAAAATCGTTACGTTTCGTTATTTTTTTTTGTAATTATATAGAAGACGGAACCTACTCATCGATTTTGATAAAATTAGGATCATTCGATGCGTTTTTGCACGAAATGAACGAATCTGGCAGAAAAATAAGTATCACTCTGCCAGCGAAACGAGATAAATATTAATGATTAAAGTTGATAGGATAAGAAAATTGGTCAGATACATTCATTTCAAAAATGCATGAAAATCATCAAAATCAATGAATAAGCCTGTATAATTATATTTTTTTTTATGTTAAAACAGGCTTCTAAGATAGAATGCTAAGACAGAATATAAATTAAATATAAGATATTTAGAAAGATATTTATTATCTTTGAACATTTTTATCTTATATTAATGTTTTACATACTTACATTTAATTCTATCGTATTTTATTATATATTATTTTAGTTTTTATTTTAGTTTTTATTTATTATTTTAATATTCTTATGTTAAAGGATAGTGAATGAATGAAATAAGGATAATGAATGAAATAAAAATAAGCAAAAAATTTTTTATTTATTTAGTGTACCTATAATCTTATTCCGCGATGACCGTGACCTATAAAAAAATAACGATGCAAGAATTACGGAGTCAATTTCATGCCTGTATATTATTAATAAGAATTACCGGACATGACCTAGATGGAACATCTGCTCTTGGGGTAGGATGAATTGTGCTTGCACTAACCACTGCAATCTCCAGTAAATGATGTTTTCCAAAATTTTTTGAGAAGGCATGATAGCAATGATATGGGGCACATGCCGGCTCCATCCGCCTTCGGACACGACTGGTGTTATTTTCCAAGCATGCGATATCACGCCCTCTATCAAGAATTGATTATAGAGCTTGAGAAGAAGTTCCAGGTAATTAGGCAAGACACAACAGCATCAAAAAGCTAATCGAGTCCGAGGGGCGGAGTTCCGATTTGCTTGAGCAAGTTAATCTTAAGCCATCTTAAGTTTCTGTAATATAATCCAAATCCCTATGCATCGCAGCGGAGTTACCTCTTTCTCCTTCATTCTTTCCAAGCTCTTTCTGGTATTGCGAGAGCAAAAAGGAGAGCATATTTTGTCCTCAGCCAATTTGATAAGAGTACGTTCCTCACATATCTTTGGATCAATTCCGGCTAGATTCTTGAAGATCTTAACTAATGACCAGATTTGGCTGATGAGTGTCTTACAGTCAAAGGACTCGGAGAATGTTTTCCATTGCATGCGTTTTTGCTTGTAGATTACTCTGGAACACTTAGCACATTCTGGGAAGCGATTTCCATTTGTCAGATAGTGCTGAATGTGAGTGCTGAGACTTCAGTGGGAAAAAGGATCTTGTCAGCTTCATCAGATAGTTGTATGCCTCGCATGTCCTCAGGAACTTCCTTGAAGAAATCTTTGGATGAGGCGGCTGAGTATGTCCTGAGAAGGATAGCCATATACAATTTGTTAACCTCTTGTTGATTTAATTTAAGCTTATATAAGAAATAACAAACTTTGTCGATGTTGTACCCCATGTTGTGTCCCCTTAATTTCGATGGGGAAGTGATCGCTGCCCATTATATCCTCGTAAACTTTAACTTCGCAAAACGGGGCAAAGTCAGGTGAGGCAATTATCAGGTTAATAATAGAGATATCCGAATTTGGAGGAGAATGGTCATCGTTCAATATGCAAGCATTAACTCCTTCCACAGCATTTAAAATGAGACTACCTGTCGGTCTTGGCACAGCTCCATAGAATGATGTGCGTTCAGACCCCCACGAAAATAACCCTCTCGTATGAGTTAAAAAGTTGAAACAGGTCCTGATACCGTGCTCCAGAAATGTTGCGATTCGGGTGTCTGTAGATGTTAACTATAGCAATGCATTCCTTGTCCGATGATATGCAAACGCCATGAAATTCCGCAATCGCAGAGTGATCATCATTGAGTTAGATCTATATATGATTAAAGATAATGTTATTTCTTATTAATTATTTTGTGAATGTGGCTTAAATTAGCTGAGTGTCCAGCGGAGTCTGAGTAATAAAAATCTTTGAAAAGATTGAATAAGCTGTCCAAATTGAGTCCTAGCGAATTGATAAAGGCAAATAATCGTTTCAAAATTATGTTAGAGAAATAATTGGATCGATGAAACAAAGTAGAAAGTAATTGATTACTGAATAGCATTTTAAAATTATTAAGGAAGTCCAAAAACTTAGCGAAAAATTATTATTGCTGTCGTGAGATCCATCACTTTCGGACGCGTGATCTTGTCACATTTCCGAATTGAACTGACTACTATCGCCATGTGCCAAGTAAAGCTTCCGTTAGATTCAAACAAAAACTCGCGATGGGACTATGAAACGCCTAAGTGAATAGTCGTATTTGGATGCGATTGAGGATGCGGAACGATACGTATTCTATGTCCAGCAGAAAGCGGTTCAATATTAGTGATTTTGGGGTTGCTTGATTTGTCAGCAGCTGCTCTTGCGTATCCTCTAGACGAATCAAAACTTAAATCCGCATCATTATCCTCTAAATTTTGAAATTTATTATGAAGAATGAGGGAAAGACCCGTTTTCTTGACATTATTTAGAAACTGCGGACACCAAGTAATAAGCAGGCCAGAATCTGGCACTACTGAGTCCTATTTCCCCTCCTGTCAAGAGATATGCGATTTTCCAAAGTAATATCTACCTGTATAACTTAAAGCCATGGCACATAAAAAAACTTGAGCAATAAAACGTAAGCAATAAGCGAATTATTAACCATTCACAATAGAATTAAGATAACATAAGCAGTAGCCAATCTAACTGTTGTTTCCTTACTGCTTACTTAAGACTTCTAAGTATTCGGATATTCAGATATTCGGATATCTGAAATCGATTCTGATCCGACTCAAAATTGTATTATTTGAGTAATCCGGATATTTGGATTATTCGGATCCGCGGATCTGAATTTGGATTCGGAGCTAAATTCAGATTCGGATCTGAATTTGGCTCCGGATTAAATCCAGAAAGAAAAAAACGTGGATGTATTTAATAAATTTTAACATAAGTTACTTTTCAAATAAAAATTGAATTTTGATTCACATATATAATTGGAGAAAAATAAAATCAAAAAATACAGATTCATACTAGCACATAGAATTAAACAAGCTTAAAATTCAACTAGACCGTTTAACCAATCACAGGCATTTGTTTCTATATGTTGTGTTTCTCACATATACATTCTATGAGATTTAATATTGTTTATAAATATAATGTTTAGAACAAACTCTCAATTTTAAAATAGTAATAACAAAGATGTACAAGGATTAGAGAAATATTTGTATTTTACACTTTTACACTCAGATTAAATAAGTGTATAATGATTTTAATATACATTCAGTCCACACTATTGTATCCGACTTTGCTTGGACAAATCTGGAACAGAATTTGAGAATCGGATCTTTCAAGTTTGGCTATCTTAGAAAATTCGAATCTCCGGATAATCCGAATTTGAAGCATCACATTCATTCGTAATTCAAATAAACGGATATCCGGATAGCTTTAAAACAATCTTGAAGCCTTACTGCTTATTGCCTTAAGTTTTTTGTGTGCCATGGGCCTTAGTTAATAAAGTATAATTTTATTTCCGCTCGATCTTCTTTTGTAAAAAATAAAATAAAATATTAATTATAAGCAAATAGACATCAATGACGAATAAATTACTTTTTCATTATCATTTCTTAACTTAGTTAACAATTACCAGTATATAATTTCATTTCCTCCTTTTGTTAAATATTAATTATAAACAAATAGAGATAAATCTTTTTTATCATTTCCTAACTTAGTTAACAAATATCAGCGTATAATTTCGTTTCCCTCCGATTTCCTTTTCTTAAATATTGAATTATAAACAAATGTCAACGTTTCGTAAATCTTGACGTTCACTTCATCAGGATGAGAAACGCACTGATACTGAATTGCTCCTACGTTCTACAGCGTCTATATAAAGGAAAAACTCCCTTTATATAGACGCTATAGAAATCTATATAAAGGGAGTTTCCCTTTATATAGACGCTGTAGAAGAAAGTGGATATAAGATGGAGAAAGAGTGGAGATCTTTGGCTTGTCAAGAGAACAGTCTTCCATATATTCTACTTATCTTATAACCTGAGTCTCTGTTCAAATATTATATTTCTGTATTTCAAGATTCTGTTTCTGTTTCTGCATCCTCTCTCCCTTCCCCAATATATCTACCGGCCTCATTCCCCTTCTATAGCGTCTACATAAAGAGAGTTTCGCGGAAGAATAGCTCCTCGCCCTCATGAAATGAACGGCAAGGTTCATAAAATGTTGGCATTAGTAGTGGACAAAAACACGGATATACCCACAAACTTTCTGGTATCTTTAAAGATAACAACTGTGGAAATTTTTGAGATATCAGAATATATAAAAAGCGTTGAGATATCAGATGCGTGTTTCGCGAAAAAAATTTGAATTTAAAAAAAAATTATTTATGCTTGTAAGTTCTAAGTTGCAGAAATTTGTAAAAATCGTCGCTCATGCAAACATTCAAATTATTATATCGTTGAAACCATTAATCATACAAAAAAAATATAAGAGATCAAGGTCCTAAGGAGTTACCTTTTTTGAAGTTTGAAAAAACCGATTTTTTTTTCTTAAATCAATAGTTTATGGTTTTAAAAATTTTAATAGTTTTAATCAAAAATTTCTGTCAATGAAAAACATTATAATATTTTATTAGTGTCAAGAGAAAAAGTAACGAAAAAGTAACTTTTGAAAATCAATAACGAGTAACGATAATGAGATAACATTTTAGAAAAGATAAAGGTAACAAGTTATTTTTATGACGTAACGTTGTCAACTCTTGTAAGATGATACACGGATGATATTTCCGAACGCAGCCTTTGTAATTTTCAGAGTTACTTCATAATTGAAGTAGAAATATGATAATATTTTTACAAAATTTTTAAATTGGTGAGTTGATAATGAAAAATGTTAATAAAAATTGTAAGCAAAATGATTTATTTTTATCAAAATGATAAATTAAAAATCATCCATTCATGGAACAATTTAAGTTAATCTTTAAAATTGGTCTTTTGTATTTTTTGTACGTTTAATGGTTTCGACGGTATATAATAATTTGAATATTTGCATGAACGATATATTTTATTTCTACAACTCTTGCAAGCATGAAGAATAACTTTACAAAAAAATCTTAAATTTTTTTTGCGAAACACGTGTCTCATATTTTTATGTAGAATATGTAATAAATTAAAAAAAAAAATAGAAAATGACGATAATTCAAAGATGCCCAATTTGACATGAAATGCCTAGTGCGTGCGAGCGCGTGTGTGTGTGTGTGTGTGTGTGTGTGTGTGTGTGTGTGTGTGTGTGTGTGTTGTGTGTAAGAGAATAATTTTTCTTACCTGAGTATTTTCTAGAAATGTTCATCCTTCAATAACAGCTGATCCTATAATTACAGCAGTATTTTTGCCTTGCAATTGCTTTGGATTGATCCCGGCATCGATAATTGCTTCATAACTATGTTCCAGTAACAGTTTCGGGTATGAATGTGTATGCTTGTTCACAAGGTATTTCAAAAAAATCCGCATCAAATTTTTCTATATTATTGACAATTCCCATACGTTTTGAGAATTCTGCATGCTCCACAGCTAAATGTATTCAAATATTATGTTCCACGTTTATCTTTTTATATAAAATTTCAGTTTGAAATAATTTCATTAATAAATAAATATGTAATTACATTTATAGAAAAGACATATTCTATCTGGACATATTCTATCTCAATCAGTCAGTAAATGTAAAAGTAAAAGTATAATGTACAAACATAATTATGAATTAATTACCTATTTTCCATCGGTTATGGTCTTTTATAAGGTTAATTTTATTAAATAAATTTTCTCGTAATTGACAGATAACCCATGTTATCTGAATGAGGAAATCTACCAGCAATACCGATAGAAATAACGATCTTCTCACCGGAATCAATATCATTCCATGATTTATCTGTTTCTTTGCCATCCATTATTATTCTTTTAAGTAATCTAGAAAAATACTATGAATATTTTATGCATGATTGAGTATAATAAGTTAATTTTTTCTTTTGACTAAGTTAAGTTAAAGTTAATGATTTATGAAATTAATTTATTTCTATTGAAAATGTGTAAACAAAAAACTTATTTAAAGTTGCGTTGTAATTAAATTAACTGAAATTAAAGTAAATATTAATTTTAAAAGCATCATTTATATTAAAATTAAATGTAATTTTTTGAATTAGATTACCCTAGAACAAGAAGCAATAGCAGTAAGATTTATCAAATATAAATTTAATATTCTACTTGCAAAACAAATTTATAAAACATATTAAATTTATAAAACATATTAAGAATTTTAAGTATATGCGATCGTATATGTGAATATGATAAAGGAAGCCAAGAACGATAACATTTTTGGATGTTACAAATAATACATTATATATTTTTTTTATTAAATTAATTTATTCCAGACATAATTGCGATAACATTCAGATTCAACAATCATTCTTGCTCGCTCCTGTCTCCAATTTGATATCGTAAAGATTTTAGAGCATTGATTCGAAATTCCCAGCGAGTGTCAGAAAGAGGTTTAATGTTTATTTTTATGTTTATTTTTAAATGTGATTATTTACTCCAACTTTTCGTTAAAGCAGAAAAAAAATTATAAATTGTCTGAATAATTTCAAAGAAATTAATCGTCTCAAAAGTAATTTTAGTTACATCATTGACGACTAAATTGAGTGTGTGAGTTGTATAAGGCACAAAGAAAGTCCTAAGATTAATATTCAGAATATATTTTTGTAAACTATTATTTTTTCCCTTCGTGTTTGCTCCATTATCATAACCTTGTCCGCGCAAATTTTGTATATCAAGATTAAATTCTTTTAACTTGTTAACTACATATTCGGTCATGCCTTTCTCAATCGAATCATGAATCTCAACAAAACCTACAAAATATTCTTCTACTCTATCTTAACACTGTTTTTTTTATTGATAAAAATCGCAAAATAATTGTCATCTGTTCTTTGTGACTAATATCCGGTGTGATATCTATAGAATAATATTTAATTTTTTAATTAATGACAAAATTTGAATGAGAATATTATTGGAAAGCAAAGAAATGACTTCATTTTGTATTATCTTGCAGTGCACTTTCATTTCTTTTTTCATAATTCGGCAAAGATGAGTAGCAAACACTGCATCGAATTTTTTTTAGCTATTAGATTCTATAATTCTATTAATTTAAAAAAATTTCCATTATTCCTTTTGTACAAAATATCCGATGTTTTTTTAAATATAAGATATTGTTGACCTAAAACCTTTACGATTTCTATGACTTTACTCTTTCAATGATTGTATGCCGGTATTGTTTTCCATTTCGAACAATTTTTCTGTTTAAATGTTATTTTGTTTGAACCAATAGTTTTTTTGTTAGGCCTGCCTTAGATCAATTCATTTTTTAAAATTACTCATATAAGCTGAAGAAATTTCATGTTCGTGCAAAATTTCTGAAAGAAATCTTTGCCAATTTGAATATCCTTTTTGAGATATTAATTTCGTAGTTGTATCCATTGTGTAAGAAGTAAATATTTTGTAACAGAAGCATTATCATTACATTTTAATCAGTATATAAGCTAGTTTCTTGAAAT